TTTTTTTTTTTTTTTTTTAATTTTTTTTTCAACGTTTATTTATTTTTGGGACAGAGAGAGACAGAGCATGAACGGGGGAGGGGCAGAGAGAGAGGGAGACACAGAATCGGAAACAGGCTCCAGGCTCTGAGCCATCAGCCCAGAGCCTGACGCGGGGCTCGAACTCATGGACCGCGAGATCGTGACCTGGCTGAAGTCGGACGCTTAACCGACTGCGCCACCCAGGTGCCCCGACTATTTTCATATTTCATCTGTAAAAAAGGGAAACTACCGCCAAACCTCACAGAGTTGTTTTAAATTATTAAATTAAACATTTAAGTGCCTGGCATACAGTAAACTATGAAGAATATTTTTGTCATTGTTATACTGAGTTTGGTAATATGTCTGCACAAGTATCATCCACCACACCTTCTTTCAGGGAAGAATTTGCAAGCTTCATCATAAGCTACTTCTCAACACATTAGCAAAAATTCCTGAAATGAGGACCAAAAATGAGATGACTTTAAATCCACACTAAAGAACACTGATATATATATCTTTCACTTTAATTTTTTAAAAATTTTTTAATGTTTATTTATTTTTGAGAGAGAGAGACAGAGAGACAGAGAGAGAGAGAGAGAGAGAGAGAGCGCGATCATGAGCAGGGGAGAAGCAGAGAGACAGAGGGAGACCCAGAATCTGAAGCAGGCACCAGGCTCTGAGCTGTCAGCGCAGTGCCCAATGCAGGGTTAGAACTCACGAACTGTGTGATCATGACCTGAGCCAAAGTCAGATGCTCAACTGACTGAGCCACCCAGGTACCCCAATATATGTATCTTTAATCCCTAGAATGTTTAACTCACTCAGAAGAGCTGACATTGTCAAAGTTTTTTTTAATAATGAAGAAAAATATAAAAGTTTCTAATTTTAACATCTGCATATTTATAATAATTTTTATAAACAGCACAACTGAATAATAAATTGTTCTTTGCCTCCATTTAAACATTTTTTAATATTTTTATAACATTACAACATTAATACATGCAGCAAAGGTCAGCCTGGCCGTATTTGTCTAAAATTTTTATAGTTTATATTTTTATAAATTTTTATTTCCATTCCACATTTGTCACTTCGCTTTACAATATTAAATCCTAAAAGAGAGAAACGAGAATCCATTCTCAGGTACATAATCTCCATTCCAACGCATCCATTTTTTCAACATTTGTTCCTTCTAAGCCTCCCTGAAATATATCTGCTCCAACCACTCTCTTGAAATTGTATTCTTCCAGCATAATTATAAACATCAAATCCCTATTTTTTCTCAATTCTCATTGATCTTGACTTCTTGTAACATTTTTCTTTTGATTTCCATGAACTTGCTCTTTCTTATGTAAATTATACCATTCCTTCAATATCCACCTCCAATCACAAACCAATTCATGTTAATTAATCTTAATTCTTTTAGTAGAAATATGCATTTAGAAACATCTTCTATAAAAGGACACTAAAGATTCATAGAATATGTCTCACATCACTTAGTATCTATAACTATTTATTTAGACTCTTATACCATTTAAACTGCCACTTAACCATGAGCCAGTAGTTCACATGCTGTTAGAAAGTAAAAATCTTAAATATCCTTTATATTTCTTAGCACTATCATGTATACAGTACACATACCATGGTTACTGAGTTAATACGTAAATTCTCAAGACATTACCACAGAAACTTGCTCAGATTTCATTAAAGTACTCTATTAAAAATATATTTGTGCGTTGAGTTAATCTTAAAGATTCAGGATTATTAAGGATATCAAGAAATTTACTACTTTACTGTATTTTATATTACCCATGCCTTAATTTGGAGTAAAGTATAAAACATATTTTCAAACACCTACATGTTTATGTAATACTCTAACTATATGCTATAATATATGAAACTTCTCCTTAATAAGACCTCATTGGTTAATCTTTAAATGAGTCCTACAGATGACAAGCCACAATACAAAGAATTATAATTGAAGACTAAGCAGACAACATAATTTTGGATCTTACAGATACATGTTAAACAAGTTACAAAGCTGCATTCTCTGCTTTTTAATCATGTTCTAGGTATCTTCACTTATTTGTAAATGGTTACATCATATTTATTTTAAAACACAGAAGGCATTTTATTTTACATAATTTCTAAAATATAAACAAATCCATATATTCTTGTGCTGTCCAAGTATAATAGAAAATGATATTTTGATTACAGAAAGAAATGCTCTTGAATGCCAATATTCAAAAGTACTATATTCTATTCATTCAGCCAATGAGTAAAGGAAAAATTTAATTTTCAAGGTAGGGAGAATCATTACCTTTACTAAGAAATGATTAGCTCCTCATTTCCATCCCAATGAAGGCAAGAGAAACTGAGACATATATATATTGCTTGACTTAAACCTTGTATTGTCCCAATCATAAATTGAAATTACAAATATTATTGTGACATTCTATGGAATTCATTTATAAATGTGGTATTACATATATTCTTTTAAAAAATGTTTCTTAAAATATTCAGTACACAACAGAAATGGACACAATTTAAATTTACAATACATTAGACATATCACAAACCACGTCATGTCCTCTTCACTCCCTCTTCAACCAATAACCCTAAATGGCAAAGCTCAACACAGACTGGAAGAAAGTACTAGTCCCACTACTAAAATACTAAGATCACTATGAGTGTACATCTTATTTAACTCAATAATGTACCATATTTAAAACAGAAAGAATATCACACCTTATTATTTCCATAGGCCATATCCATTGCTTCTAGGGATAAGGAGCAAAGTGCATTTATTAAATGATGCAATGATACATCATCAAGATACCTATAATGAAAATGAAGAAGTATGACATTCTGATCTAAAATATACAGCTAATAATATTTCTTTCAATTTCAAAAACTGATTCTTTTTTTTTTAAATTTATTTATTGTTTAATTTATATCCAAGTTAGTTAGCATATGGTGCAACAATGATTTCAGGAGTAGATTCCTTAATGCCCCTTACCCATTTAGACCATCCCCCCCACCCCACAGCCCCTCTAGCAACTCTCTGTTTGTTCTCTGTATTTAAGAGTCAAAAACTGATTCTTACTGTGAGCTTTCAAACAATCTTGAAAGTATATTGGAAATCACTGGTAAATCTGTCATCACTGCTGTTGTGAGAACCTAAGAGAAGAGTACAATTAAATGTAACATATGAACATATTGAGAAGCACAAATTCAGTAAGACTAACTACAGCTTACTGTACTGGGTCCTTCTACAGCTCTCCCAGGTTTCAAGGCACCACCACTACTAGGCTTTAATCCCAGAATCCATACAAGATGCTGTAAAATTAAACAAAAAAAAATAACTAAATCTGTAAAACTGTAAAAACCCTAATAACTAAAATTAAAAGTCATTAGTAACTCTTAATAACTAAAATTAAAATCAGAAATAGGTTTCCAATAATTAAATTTAAATCGGTAACTGCTATTCATATAAAATACTTAAAACACCAAGCATAGGCAGAACTTAGGCCATTAAGAGAAGCCACATCTTTTTTCTTTTCCAACTTTTCCTTCTTCAAACTTACTGTCTATTCTTTAGGCTTCCCCAAACTACCAACAGGCATTGCTTAATTTAATTGGTTGCACCTAGATATAAAAAGAACACTGATCTTTGACTCAGAGCCTACAACATACCTGTAGGGTCGCCAAGACAAGTTGCCATGATGTTCCAAGAACAGCTCCATGGCAGTGTGCCAAGTTAAGTAAAGTCCTCATACACTGGATATTTTTGGAAGTGAGCTATATTTAAATAAATATATATTTGTAAGAATTGTTATGCATTCTCGTAAAGTAGGATTATCATATTCAAATATTTTTTAAATAAAAAACCAAATATATTAAGAAAATAGGTGTGGATGGTTTGTATAGAACAAATTAATTTGCTTAAAAATTGTGTTACCATCATTGTTAATGATAATGTCAGTTGTCTTCTAAAGGTATCAATCATCCAAGTAAAATAAATAACTCTAACAACAAAATCTGGCAAACAAAAAGAAAGGTACAGGCGACAGAGTTAACATGGCAGAGTAGTATAGGGACCCTGAGCTTGTCTTGTCCCTGAAACACAGCTAGATCAGCATCAAGACATTTTGAACACCTAAGAAATTGATCTCATGATAAATGCAACAATTTGCATAATATGAGCCAGAGAACTTGGCAGGAATGTCATGCAGAGGGGTGAAATAGGGGAGAGAAAAACCGTGGAGCTGCAGAGTAGGGTGCCATTTTCACAGAGAGAGGGCAGAGAAAGGGGGAGAGTGCAGAGCATCAGGATTGCTCAAGAAAAGCACTCCCCACCCCAACAGAAGCTGGAGAGAAAGAGAAGGAAAGAGTGAGAACACTCAGAGGGAACTGGACAAAACATCTGTTCTCCAAAACCATTAATGGAGAGAGGGGAGAGGGTTTCAATACCACCAGGGTTCTATAAACAATGGAGCGCAATGTCTGAAGGTTCAGAGATCAGTGCCTGACGATGCTCCAGTGAGGAAGTAGGGCAAATCCCCAGGAATAGGCAATGTGGACTGAGGGATCCATGTGTAACACGGAGAGAAGCGGTTCTCCTGTCTGGAGTGCATTTGATAGAGGCTATCTGTCCTCCCCATTGGCAAAACTCCCAGCGGACCCTGGAGAGCTGTCACATTTACTGATAGTAGAACAAAGGCACCAGAGTGCAGCAAAACTGGCTGGGGTATGATTTACCAAAAACTCTGAGCCACTGCCACTGCATGATCGCACAAATATTTTCTAGGGAAAGCCAGCATCTGGTGATTGCTCAGCGAAACTCCCCCCCCCCCCCCCCCCCCACCAGAGAATCAGTGCAGGTCAAAGATGAAGGTGTCTGTGAAGTATGGGGTTTTGAAACACAGCCCCATCTGAGATAAAACTGTGGAGGGAGGCATTACCTGGCAGGCAGACAGCTTGGACACAGACAGGGTAAAGGCAAGAAGACAGAAGCCTGATACAAAGGAGGGGTACTTGATCACACATCTGTGAGGGCACGAAATTCCTAATCCAGAGACTAGAGAGCTGGGTTAAGCTATTTTCACCCCTCGCCCATGCATTCACAGACCAGGATTGACCCCACTGAGCTAAGCAGCACCACCAAGTGAAGAATACAGCTGATACACCAAGCCCTGCCCACCTGCGTCCTCCAGAAGACCAGCACAAATCCTCTCCACGTGCTTAGTCTACTGACCATAGAGTGCGTCAAAGTTTCAGTTCTAGGGGCGCCTGGGTGGCTCAGTCAGTTGGGCGCCCGACTTTGGCTCAGGTCATGATCTCGCGGTCCGTGAGTTCGAGCCCCGTGTCGGGCTCTGTGCTGACAGTCAGAGCCTGGAGCCTGCTTCAGATTCTGTGTCTCCCTCTCTCTCTGACCCTCCCCCGTTCATGCTCTGTCTCTGTCTCAAAAATAAATAAACATTAAAAAAATTAAAAAAAAAAAAGTTTCAGTTCTAGGGGAAACTGGATTTAACTTTATTCAGGTTTCGTTCTGTTTGCTTGTTTGTTGGTTTGTTTTCTTTGCTTCTATTTTTGCTTATGCTGTTTTCTTTTTCTTTCTTTTCTTTCTCTTTCTTGGATACATAAAGAGCAATTTTTATCCTATTTTATTTTATTCTATTATTAAACATTTTTTAATTAATTTAAAATTTTAATTTAATTTAATTTAAAAAATTTTACTTTTTTTCCCCTCTTTTTTCTATCAAACCTCTCTCCACAAGAAGACTGAAATACACCTAAGATCTGGCTTCCTTTATTTGATTTTGTTTTGTTTTAATATTACTTTCTTATTAACTTTTTTCTTCCTTCAAAATGACATGATGAGAAATTCACCCCAAAAGAAAGAAGAGGAAGAAATGATGGCCAGGATTTAATCAACACAGATATAAGTAAGACAGTCTGAACTAGAATTTAAAACCATGATTATAAGAATACTAGCTGGGGTTGAAAACAGAATAGAAGACACCAGCAAATCTCTTTCTGCAGAAATAAAAGAGCTAAAATCCTGTTAGGATGAAATTAAAAATGCTATCACCGAGATGCAATCTCAAATGGATGATATGACGGCAAAGATGGATGAAGCAGAGCAGTGAATCCGTAATTCAGAAGATAAAATTATGGAAAATAATGAAGCAAAAAAAAGAGGGAAACAAAGGCAAAAGATCACCATACAAGACTTAAGAGAACTGAAAGATTTATTAAGGAGGAATAATATTCATATCATAGGAATCCCAGAAGATGAAGAGAGAGAAGAGGAGCAGAAGGTTTATGTGAGCAAATTATAACTAAAAACTTTCCTAATCTGGGGAAGAACACAGACATCAAAATACAAGAAGCACAGAGAACTCCCACTGGACTGAACAAAAACTAACCATCACCAAGGCATACTGTAGTCAAATTCACAAAATACACAGACAAGGAGATGATCATGAAAGCAGAAAGTGAAAAAAAAGTCTTTAACCTACAAGGAAAGACAGATTACGTGCATGGCAAATCTGTCCAAAGAAACTTGGCAGGCCAGAAAGGAGTGGCAGGAAATATGCAACGTGCTGAATTGGAAAAATATGCAGCCAAGAATTATCCAGCAAGGCTGTAATTCAGAATAGAAAGAGAGACAGAGTTTCCCAGACAAACAAAAACTAAAGGAGTTCATGACCACTAAACTAGCCCTGCAAGAAATTTTAAGGGGGACTCTTTGGAGAAAAAAAATGAAACAAAACAAAAGAGACCAAAAGTAACAAAGACTAGAAAGGACTGGAAAATGTCACCAGAAACACCACTCTCTACAGGTAACACAGAGGCACAAAATTCATATCTTTCAATAACCACTCTAAATGTAAGTAGACTAAATATTCCAATCAAAAGACATAGGTATCATAATGGATAAAAAAACAAGACCTGATCTATATGCTTACTACAAGAGACTCATTTTATACCTAAAGGCACCTGCAGATTGAAAGTAAGGGGATGGAGAACTATTTATCATGCTAATGGACATCAAAAGAAGGCCAGAGGAGCCATTCTAATATCAGACAAACTAGATTTTAAAACAAAAACTGTAACAAAAGATGAAGAAGGGCATTATATCATAATTAAGGAGTCTATTCACCAAGAAGATCGAACAATTGTAAATATTTATGCCAACTTGAAAGCACCCAAACACATGAATCAATTCATCACAAACATACAGAAAGTCATTAATAATAATACAGTAATAGTAGGGGAATTTAACACCCCACTCTAGCAATGGACACATCATCTAAGCAGAGAATCAACAAGGAAACAATGACATGCTGGACCAGATAGACTTAACAGATATATTCAGAACATTTCATCCTAAAGCAGCAGAGTACACATTCTTCTCAAGTGCACATGGAACATTCTCCAGAGTAGATCACATAATGGGACACAAATCAGCCCTCGACAAATACAAAAAAACCTATATCATCCCATGCAGATTTTCAGATCACAAAGCTATGAAACTTGAAGTCAACCACAAGAAAATATTTGGGAAGATCACAAATACTTGGAGATTAAAGAACATTCTACTAAAGAAAGAATGGGTTAACCAAGAAATTAAAGAGGAAATTAAAAAAAGTACATGGAAGCCAATGAAAATGAAAACACGACAGTCCAAAGCCTTTGGGAAGTAGCAAAGGCCGTCATAAGAGGGTAGTATATAGCAATCCAGCCCTTCTTAAATAAGGAAGAAATGTCTCAAATATACAACTTAACCTTACATCTAAAGGAGCTGGAAAAAGAAGAGAAAATAAAGCCCAAAACCAGGAGAAGGGAAATAATGAAAATCAGAACAGAAATCAATACTGAAATTAAAACAAACAAAAAACAAAAAAAAAGGGAACAGATCAACAAAACCAGAAGCTGGTTCTTTGAAAGAATTAATAAAAATAATCAGACTTACTAAAAAGAAAAAGGAAAGTACCCAAATAAATAAAATCACTAATGAAAACAGAGAGATCACAACCAATACTGCAGAAATACAAACAATGATTAGAGAATATTTTGAGCAATTGAATGCCAACAAATTGGGCAATCTGGAGGAAATGTATAAAGTCCTAGAAACATATAAACTACCGAAACTGGAATAGGAAGAAATACTAAATTTGAACTGACCCATAACCAGTAAAGAAATTCAATCAGTCATCAAAAATCTGCCAACAAACAAGAGTCCAGGGCTGGATGGATGTCCACGGGAATTTTACCAAACATTCAAAAAAGAGTTAATACCTATTCGTTTCAAGCTGTTCCCAAAAATACTATGGACAGAAAGTTTCCAAACTCATTCTATGAGGCCAACATTACCTGATTCCAAAACCAGACAAAGACCCTACTAAAAAGGAGAATTATAGAACAATTTCCCTGATGAACATGGATGCGAAAACTCTCAACAAGATACTAGCAAACTGAATCCAACAATACATTAAAAGAATTATTCACCATAATCAAGTGGGATTTATTCCTGGGATACAGCGGTGGTTCAATATCCACAAATCATTCAACGTGACACATCACATTAATAAAAGAAAGGATAAGAACCACATGATCCTCTCAATAGATGCAGGAAAAACATTTGACAAAATACTGCATTCTTTCGTGATAAAAACCCTCAAGAAAGTAGAGATAGAAGGAACACACCTCAACATCATAAAGGCCATATGCAAAAGACCCACAGCTAATATCATCCTCAATGTGGAAAATCTGAGAGCCTCCCCCCAAAGGTCAGACATATAATAGGGATGTCCATTCTCACCACTATTCAACATAGTACTAAAAATCCTAGCCTCAGCAATCAGACAACAAAAAGAAACAAAGGCATACAAATCGGCAAGGAAGAAGTCAAACTATCACTCTTCACAGACAACATGATACTCTATGTGGAAAACCTGAAAGACTCCACCAAAAAAATGCTAGAACTGATACATGAATTCAGTAAAGTCACAGGATATAAAATCTACGTACAGAAATTGGCTGCATTTCTATACACCAATAATGAAACAGAGTATCAAGGTATCGATCTCATTTACAACTGTACCAAAAATCATAAAATACCTAAGAATAACCCTAACCAAAGAGGTAAAAGATCTGTATGCTGAAAACTATAGAAAGCTTATGAAAGAAACTTAGAAGAGACAAAGAAATGGAAAACATCATGCTCATGGGTCAGAAGAACAAATACTGTTAAAATGTTAATACTACCCATAGCAATCTACACATTTAATGCAATCCCTACCAAAATAACACCAGCATTCTTCACAGAGCTAGAACAAACAATCCTAAAATTTGTATGGAACCAAAAAAGACCCCAAATAGCCAAAGCAATCTTGAAAAAGAAAACCAAAGCTGGAGGCATCACAATCCCGAACTTCAAGATGTATTAAAAAGCTGTAGTCATCAAGAGAGTATGGTACACAAACACAGACACATATATCATTGGAACAGAATAGAGAATCCAGAAATGGACCCACAAATGTATGGCCACGTAATCTTTGACAAAGCAAGAAAGAAAATGCAATGGAAAAAAAAGACAGTCTCCTCAGCAAATGGTATAGGGAAAACTGGTCACTGACATCCAGAAGAATGAATCTGGACTGCTTTCTTACACCATACACAAAAATAAACTCAAACGGATGAAAGACCTGAATTTAAGACAGGAAACCATAAAAATCCTAGAGGAGAAAACAGGCAACAACCTCTTTGACCTCGGCCACAGCAATTCCTTACTAGACATGTCACTGGAAGCAAGGGAAACAAAATCAAAAAAGAACTGTTGGGACCTCATCAAGATAAAAAGTCTGCACAGGGAAGGAAACAGTCAACAAATCTAAAAGGCAACCGATGGAATGGGAGAAGATATTTCCAAATGACATATCAGATAAAGGGTTAGTATCCAAAATCTATAAAGAACTTATCAAACTAAAAATCCAAAACACCAATAATCCGGTGAAGAAATGGGCAGAAGACATGAACAGACACTTTTCCAAGGAAGACATCCAGATGGCTTACAGACACATGAAACGATGTTCAACATCACTCATCATCAGAGAAATACAAATCAAAACCATAACAAGATACCACCTCACACCTGTCAGAATGGCTAAAATGAACAACAGGTGTTGGCAAGGTTGAGGAGAAAAGGGAACACCTTTGCATTTCTGGTGGGAATGCAAACTGGTGCAGCCACTCTGGAAAACAGTACGGAGATTTCTCAAAAAATTAAAAATAGAGCTACTCTACAATCCAGCAATTGCATACTAGCTATTTATCCAAAGGATACAAAAATGCTGATTTGAAGGGGCACATGCACCCCAATGTTTACAACACTATCAACAACAGTCAAAGTATGGAAAGGGCTCAAATGTCCATTAACTGATGAATGGATAAAGAAGACGTGGTTTATATAGGGGCACCTGAGTGGCTCAGTCGGTTAAGCATCTGATTTCAGCTCAGGTAATGATCTCTCTGTGAGTTCGAGCCTCTCTCAACAGCTCAGAGCCTGGAGCCTGCTTCGGATTCTGTGTCTCCCTCTCTCTCTGCCCCTCCCCTGCTTGCACTCGGTCTATCTCTCTCAAAAATAAACAAACAATAAAAAAAAAATTTTTTTGGGGGCGCCTGGGTGGCGCAGTCGGTTAAGCGTCCGACTTCAGCCAGGTCACGATCTCGCGGTCCGTGAGTTCGAGCCCCGATCTCGCGGTCCGTGAGTTCGAGCCCCGCGTCAGGCTCTGGGCTGATGGCTCAGAGCCTGGAGCCTGTTTCCGATTCTGTGTCTCCCTCTCTCTCTGACCCTCCCCCGTTCATGCTCTGTCTCTCTCTGTCCCCAAAATAAATAAACGTTGAAAAAAAAAAAAAATTTTTTTTAAAGATGTGGTATATACATACAATGAATATTACCCAGCAATCAAAAAAGAATGAAATCTTGCCATTTGCAACAACATGGATAGAACGAGAGTATATTGTACTAAGTGAAATAAGTCAGACAGAGAAAGACAAATACCATATGATTTCACTCATGTAGAATTTATGAAACAAAAAAGAAAAATATAGGGGTAGGGAAGGAAAAATAAGATAAAAATAGAGATGAAGGAAAACGATAAGAGACTCTGAAGTATAGAACAAACTGAGGGTTGCTGGAGAGGTGTTGGATGGGGGGAATGGACTAAATGGGTGATGGGCATTAAGGAGGGCTCTTGTTGGGATGAGCACTAGGTGTTATATGTAAGTGATGAATCACTAAATTCTATTCTTGAAACCATTATTACACTACATGTTAACTCACTTGGATTTAAAAAATAAAAAAAGAAAGGTATAATAATTTTGCTGGATAGTTAATTGGTAACTAAGGTAAGAAAAGTCCTTCACCATTACTGTTCCTTGAGGCTGGACTGCCAGAGGTTGACCAACTGCCACAACTTGCTGGTGAGATTCACTTGATGGACTTATCATCATAACATTCTGGCCCTGAATGGAATATGCTAGAACACAAAGGAAAGCTTAAATAATTAAGATATACTTTTCACATTATTCAAAGTAATGTTGTATTTTAAAACATTAATTTGATTAAACTAAGTTCAACTATGACACTTATGCAGTTACCTATTATCTACATGCAAACATTTTTGAAATTCAGGAGGTATAAAAACCAATATAATTTAAGCAAATTTTAAGTAATTTTCTATATAACTTTTTAAAATTATAAAACTTAGGTATACTTTTTCACAAGCAAAATAGAATTAGGACACATGGAGTATTTTAACATATATTCCCAGTAAACTTTTATAGTTAAAGTTAGATGTCCAATCTCACATTTTCAGTCTGAAAACTAAATACCATCTTGAAATATATTTCTATTACATGTAACAAACCTGAGTGTTTTCAAAGTATTCAACAAGAAAAAAACCATCTGAACGTTAAAAGCAGCATTATTGTTCTACTAGTTCGTTGAAAAAAATAAAAACAAAAACAAACAAAAAAACACCACTACTTTTTAAAAATTTTTTTAAGTTTATTTATTTATTTTAAGTAATCTCTAGACCCAATGTGGGGCTCAAACTCATGACCTCGAGATCAAGAGTTGCACATTTCACTGACTGAGCCAGCTAGGCACCCCAAACCACCATTTCAATAGTATGATATAGTTTACAACAGACTTCTAGATTTATTTTCTTTTTAAAATTTTTTTTAATGTTTGTTTATTTTTGAGAGAGACAGACAGTCAAAGCATGAGTGGGGAAGGGGCAGAGAGAGATGGAGACACTGAATCCAAAACTGGCCCCAGGCTCTGAGCTGTCAGCTCAGATCCCGATGCTGAGCTCGAACTCACAAGCCATGAGATCACAACATGAGCCGAAATTTGATGTTTAACCATCTGAGCCACCCAGGCACCCTGGAGATTTATTTTCTTTTATCCTCACTATCATTGTTGAAAATTGGTATTATTCTCCCTGCACTCCCATTGTTTTAAAGAGATGGAAAAAATTTAAGCTCTGGGTCGCAGACCCAGAGAAGTCTGCAGACTTCTCGCAGAGGTCATAGTCAGAGAGTAAAACAGGTAGGCTTGAACTAGGAATTTCTATAATATTTTCTCTACATAATGTCACATCACTAGATGAAAAAAAACTCCGAGTAAGCTGAAGTCTTACATTTGTTGGAAAGCGTGGCTGCGGTGGTGGTATTCAGCACAGTAAGAGCATAATGGGGGGGCAGGGAACCTTTGCATATTGCAGTTATAAAGGCGTCTCTTGAAGTTACAAGGCCCAGTCTTCCACAAAGAGCAGCCATAGTCAGTTCAGCTTTTAAAATATTCTCAGTGGCAGCTTCATCTGTGCTGAAAAGATGAAGTATTGTATTTAATATGATTAATTTATGTTTAATTATACTGCGAACATGATGTGCAATTAGGTATTCAGTGGAGTTTTAAGAAAATCTATAGACAAATAACAGCAAAATATACTTAAGGAATTTTAACTAATCAACATAATATCTGAAAATCTGAATTGGGTGAAAGCAATATATAATACATATTTCATTATTGAAGAAAATGGTTAAGCACTCAAAGATTTAACTTAAAATATCAAGCATTTTAAAATCAGTAAATTCTGCCATTCTGGAAAACAAATCAAAGTTACTGATAATCATCATCACTGTAAAAGTAGTAGTAAGGCTTGAAGTGAAAAAAAAAATTCTGTAATTTTAGGATTGGATTTTCCATTAAAACATTATGACAACTACTCTGGTGGGGAGCAGGGCAAGAATAGGAGGAAGGGGGGAGGTGGCAGAAAAAGAATAATGTCCAAAAACTAATATTAAGAAATAAATCTTAAGACAAATTGAAGTAACAATTTTAATGTTTGTTTCTTATTAACTGTCACATGCAATATAAAAATTATAAAGACTTAATACCTGGCATCAAGAAGGAGTGAGAGAGCAGCAAGTAAACCACACCAGCAGGCATTCACCATTTCTTCCCAAACAGCTCTACTGACTTAAATGACAAAAACACACAATACCTCATGATAACATAGTATTTGACAAAATGCTATTCTAAAACCTCCCTAGTCATATGATGATACATTATATATTCCATCAACAACTCAATTATAATACTAAAATCTATAATATTTATATATTTGAACCAATGAAAACTTAAAAACCACACCAGAGTTTCAGAATTCAAAAAGTTAACTTACTGGGTGTGTGTGTGTGTGTGTGTGTGTGTGTGTGTGTGTGTATGTGTGTGTGTGTGTGTGTGTGTGTAATGTCAGCTCCTTTTCCCTTCCCCTTCATTGGGCCAATCTTTCAGCCTCTGTGATCAGCTAAGAGTGATCAGCTGGTTCAGCCAGGAGACTGGTGATACACACACACACACACACACACACACACACACACACACACACACTCTCGCGCGCGCGCACACACACACACACACACACACACACACACACACACACACATTGGGAATCAAGTAAATAAAGCGAATCCACTGAATAAACTGGGACCAAGTTTTCACTGTTGGAGAAGGTAATTACAAACATGGAAAGTTGAAAATAAACCTTGTGGTATTAAACCAGAACTGGAGAAACCTCATTTACACAGACATTTTTAGACAGGCATTTTTAAAATGTAGAGAGATGTATGCTTGTGTGTGCATGTGTATGCGTGCATTTCTTTTTCAAGTAGTAAAAAGCACACTAGTGCCCATGTGTTAGTTTCCAAATACTATTCTAAACTAAAAGAAGCTAGGGCTCCTTAGATAAATAACTGAATCCTGGGCTTGGCAAGAAAAATCAAAGATGAGTTTAGAACATTTTGTTGAGTCAGATAGTAAGGTAGAGGTCAGAAAATGACAAAAGAACATAGTGACCAGTTTGAAAGGGGTCCCGCTGGCAATGTCAGGAACAATCTGAGTGTTAAACCAAATAATGATAATCACAGATTGCAACCCTTCAATAAAATAAAATTCCATTCTGCCATTCTGGGGGGGAAAAAAAAAATCAAAGCAACTGATAATCATCATCACTGTAAAAGTAGTAGCAAGGCTTGAAGTGAAAAAAACATTCTGTAATTTTAGGACTGTATTTGCCATTAAAACATCAGGGCAAGAATAGCAGGAAGGGGGGAGGTGGCAGAAAAAGAATAATGTCCAATATATAAAAAATAATATAAATGAATAAATCTTAAAAAAATAAATGGGAGAGAAGGAAAAGCTCTCTTTAATATTTTAGATTAGTCTCAAAATATTTCTCCACAAAAAGTTCATAATTATTCTTACATTGAAGAAACCAGCCAGACATATTAACCAAATGGTAACATTACCAATAATGAGACATGTTGACACTGTATGCTCCTGACATGTTGATACACTAAGTATAATGCAGCAACGTTTCTATAGTAAAAACGAATAAATTGAATCTAATTATGAGGAAACAAAAGACAAACCCAAACTGACTGAGCTACCTTTCAAAAGGGTCAAGGTCATATAAAACAAGAAAAAACTAAGGACATGTTCTAGATTAAAGGACAGTATAGCAACATGAAACTAAATTCAACAGGTAATCCCAGAACATAAGAAGACCTCATTGGGGGGCGCCTGGGGGGCTCAACTGGTTAAGCCTCCGACTCCTGGTTTTGGCTCGGGTCATAATCTCATGGTTCATGAGTTCAAGTCCCGCATGAGGCTCTACGCTGACAGTGCAGAGCCTGCTTGGGATTATCTCTTTCTCTCCCTCTATCTGCCTCACTCTGGCTCACACTGTCTGTCTCTCTCTCTCTAAAAAAAGAAAACAAAAACAAAAACAAAAAGGAAAAGGAAAAGGAATAGAAAAAAAGACATCATTGGGGCAACTGGCAAAATTTGAATGAGGTCTCAAATTAGATAATACTGGGCTAATGCTAAATTTATGATAGGACTGTACTATAGTTATATAGGAAACTGTCCTTATTTTTTAGAAAACACTGAAGTATTAAGGGGAAATTGGGCATTATGTCTGCAACTTATTCTCTAATAGTTAAAAAGGTAAAAAGTATAGTGACATATATAAATACAATTACACAAATATGGTACTGTTAACAATTGGGAAATCAGGGTGAAGGATATATGGGAACTCTAGTATCTGTGCAACTTTTCTGTAAATTTCAAATTATTTCAAAATAAAAGTTAAAAATACATCACATATACCTATTTCCTTATCCATTTGGTCTGACGTTGACTGTGATTCTTGCCGTTCTGATGACTGTGTTGGTGAAGAAGCTGCTTCAGTGGTAGTCTGACATTCTGTTTCAACCTCTCCTAACTCTCCTTCAATCATACTAGTGATTCCACGTACAAGGTCTAGCAAACAGTGGAATGCCACAGACATAGCATAACCTTCTGGTATAGTTGGGGGCTCAACTTTGTCCAACATCTCCAGGCTGAAATTATGAGAAAATCAGAACACTAGTTAAAAGCCACAATAATGAAAATACATGAAAGGACTTCCATAATTTGTAGTCTACAGAAATTAAGAGCAACAAACTGCAAAAGTGAATGGACATTACTGAGTTTGTGTTGTTCGGAGGAGGGCTCCCTTCTCAGTATTCTAAGAAACTGATTAGAAAAATTAAGGTCTGACCACTTCCATAACTAATTAGTTTAATAACTTACTTTTTTGCCTCTCCCCACAAGATGTGCCAATATTTTCATTAAATGTTGGCACTAGAAAAATAAAGACATGCAAAATAGTGTAAGACTAAATGGATTATAAAACCACTCAAATCTGACTAAGGTGCTTTCAAAATAAGGTGCTATCAAATCAATCCTTTAAATGGGAAGATACTTTCACACTGAGAAAGTATTACTGTGAGATATCCAGCTTAGCTATCATCTCAGATACAATATGTCAACAGAGTAAGAATAATACTCAGAGCTTCAGTATGTCAAAGTCACATTTTAGAGCAGTTTCTACCCCATAGTTAAAACAAAGCTTTCAAAAGGGAAGATAAATCTTTTGTCTTAAATCATGGCAAATAAAGAGTTATGGTTTTAAGTTCCTTAAAACTGAAATCTGTCAAGATAAATCAATGGAAAAAGAACTGGTGGTACTGGAACAACTGGATATTCATATGTAAATGAATGATGGTGGATCTACCTTGCACCATATACAAAAATTCACTCAAAATGTATGAACGACCTAAATGTAAGGGCTAAAACTAAAAACTCTTAGTTGAGAACCTGGGAAAAAATCTCCACAACCTCACATTAAGTACTGATTTGTTAGATATGATGCCAAAAGCACAAGCAACAGAAGAAAAAATAAATTGAATTCATCAAAATTAAAAAATATTGTCCTTCAAAGGATACTGTTAAGAAAATGAAAGGCAATCCACAGAATAGCAAATCATATATCTAATAGGGGACTAAAGAATATATAACACTAATAGCTAAATAATAATAAAAAATAAATAAAAAGGAGCAAAGGATCTGAAAAGACATTTCTCCCAAGATGATATATAAATGGCCAATAAACACATGAATAAGAAACTCAAAGTCATCAGTTTTTAGAGAAATGCAAGTTGAAATATGGTAAGATAACATTTAATATCCACTAGGATGGATATGATCAAAAGACTATGACAATAATCAAAAGATAGTAATAAGCATTGCTCAGGATGTAGAGAAATCTGAACCCTCATATACTGTTGGTGGGAATGTAAAATGGTACAGTCTCTTGGGAAAATAGTTTGGCAGTTCTTCAAAAGTTAAACATCCACAACTACATGACCCAGCAATTCTACTCCTAGGTATATATCCAAGAAAAATGAAAACATATGTCTAAGCAAAAAAGTTACACACAAATGCTTACAGCAGCATTATCTCTAAAAACCAAAAAGTGGAAACAACCCAAATGCCCATCAAATGATGGATAAACAAAATGCAGTACATCCATAAATCAGAATTATTTACCCATAAAAAGAAGTGAAACAGTGATATATCCTACAACATGGATGAACCTTCAAAACATGCTAAGTGAAAGCCTGAACAAAAGAATATTTATTGTACGATTACTTTTATATGAAATATCCAGAATAGGCAAATCAGTAGAAATGCAAGGTAGATTCATGGTTGCTAGGGGGTGGGGAAAGGGAGACTGAGGAATGACTGATAATGGGTAAGGGTTTCTTTCTGGGGTGATGAAAAAGTTCTGGAATTAAATGGTAGTTACTGTTGTATATAGCTTTTGAATACAATGAAACCATAAATTATACACTAAGACTAAATTTTATGGTTTGTGAATTACATCTATACATACAATTGAAATCACTAAAGATTACAATAAAAAAAGTTAATAAAAGGGGTGCCTGGGTGGCTCAGTTAGTTAAGCATCTGACTCCTGATTTTGGCTCAGGTCTGTGATGCATGGTTTTGATGAGTTCGGCTTCATTATGGCTCTCAGGCTCTGGCGCTGACTTTACAGAGCCTGCTTGGGATTTTCATATTCTCTCCCTCACTCCCTCTCCTGCTCCCTCCCCTCCCCCCGCCCCTCCCTGGCTTGTGCTCTCTCTGTTTCTCTCAAAATAAATAAATAAATTTGAAAAAATTATTTAAAAAAATTAAAGTTAATAAAAGAGATTTCCTACTTCAAATCCTAAAAGTCCCTGAATCATAATCAAGACTGGAGGTAGGTAATTTATAAATATATGCAAAACTCAAAGTAAATAGCTATCATTTGTTGTGCAATTACTCTTGGCCCGGGACTTTAAGGTATTTTTTTGGTGCATTTTGTCTTGTTTAAACTCCACACAAAACCCCTAAAAGACACAGATGATGAAACCAAGGACTATGGTGACACCGCTACCAATCAGCAGTTCTTAACCCAAGTCTGATTCTAAAGTCTATCAATTTAGCCCCTAGCATGTCCTGGCTCTGAATATTTTAAAATTTAGGTATTCAATAAAAATATAAATACATTCTTGATCAAGAGATCTAAGCTCAAACAGCAAGGGTAAATTTTCTGGATTCAACTGTATAAAGCCACACATTAAGCCTATCAGCACTAATTGTTTTTTTCAGACAAATCTCTACTTTCAAAGAACAAATGATCTACTGTGAAAATGCATCTAAAACAGATAATATAATCTTAAATATCCAAAACTCCAATCCCCAAATTCTATGGTAAAGACTTTAAGTGCCAGAATAGTTAGGAGAAAAAAGGTGATTTATGTTTATTTATACCACAGCCTATAACATGGCCTACACTTTCTTACCTCAATATTTCAGGGCTATTTTATTAGAATCACTACATAAATTCCAGTTTTAGATAAAATGTAACTCATTTATTTAAATATTTTTAAATTTAGGTAAACTTGCAAAACTGTCACAAGCCCAACTTTGAAAGAAACCACAGTATAATTAATCTGAAAGAATATGTCAACAATACTTAGGTAAAAACTACTTCTGAGGGCACCTGGGTGGCTCAGTCAGTTAAGCGTCCGACTTCAGCTCAGGTCACAATCTCATGTCTCGTGAGTTCGAGCCCTGCATCAGACTCTGTGCTGATAGCTCAGAGCCTGGAGCCTGCTTCAGATTCTGTGTCCCCTCTCTTCTTCACCCCATGCTGCTCGTCTTCTCTCTCTCTCAAAAATAAATAAACATTAAAAAAGTTTAAAAAAACTACTTCTGTACATCACTTAAGTTTTCAAACGATTACATACTTAAAAAAGTCAATACATGAACAGAATACACAATCAAGATTTCCATTTTTACCTTCAAAGAAAATAGTAAAAATAACTTTATACTCGAAGTCACAGTATTTAGTAGCAGAACTAGTTAAAATCAACTCTCTTAGTTGACAAGGACTAAATTATCAACAAACAATTGGCCCTGGGCTCCTTGGTGGTTCAGCTGGTGGAGCATCTGAGGTCAGGTCATGATCTCATGGTTCATGGGTTTGAGCCCTGCGTCAGCCTCCACTCTGACAGTGCAGAGCCTGCTTGGGATTTTTTCTCTCTCTCTCTCAATAAATAAACTTAAAAAAACTATTTGCTGTTCTTTTAAAACAAAAAGAATAAATTAAACAATTGGTTTCAGGGGCCCCTGGGTGGCTTGGTTGGATAAGCGGCCAACTCTTGGTTTCAGCTCAGATCATGATCTCACGGCTTTGTGGGCTCAAGCCTGGCATCAGGCTCTGCACTGGCACCATAGAGCCTGCTTGGGATTCTCTCTCTCCCCTTTTTCTCTCCCTCTCCCCTACTTATGCTGTCTCTCTCAAAAGAAAGAAAGAAAGAAAAAAAGAAAGAAAGAAAGAAAGAAAGGAAGAAAGAAAGAAAGAAAGAAAGGAAAATTAGACCATTGGTTTCTGACTTCCATTTTATTAATAAAAAAGCAATTATTACAACTTTGCCAAGTAATTACTCTTTTGTCATTTGTTTTGATTTTTCTTCCTCAAGCACTCACTCTCTCCCTTTAGTTATGTATCTGTTCAATCTTCTATCCTCAGAGATCATTTCTGTCCCCATCTTCACCTTGGTCACTCTCTATCCCCTTAACTTGTCTTTTCTTCAAAGAATTAAACACTAGCAAGGTGATATTACATGTTTATTTGAGCCTTTATTGACTATCTCACTCACTAATACATAAGTTCCATACGGGCAGCAATTTATGGAACCCAACAGCAGTTCCATGTTGGGGTTTTTTCAACTTATAAAATGAGGTGGGGAAGTGAATGAATCAGATTACGGTCTCCTTCAGTGCTAGAAATATGATTCTTTTAAATTTGATTCTCTAGTATACTTGCACCACTAGCCTTTATAGCAAGCAAAAGCTTATATGAGACTAGGTAACATTATCTTTTAAATGACTAAGAATAACAATGAATTTTAGTTAAATATTTCAGTCCTCTATGACTCCATGCTTTTACACTTTTAGCCAAAATAAAGCTGTACAGCAAAATATCATGATCATACAATGTAGACTGACACACCATATAAATTTATCATTTAAACTAGTCAGAGAAAAGGAGGTTGGGCAAATGAGTAAAGGGGTGTGGGAGACACAGACTTCCAGTTCTTCTAGTCACAGAATGAATAAGTTACAAGAATAAAAGGCACAGCATAAAGGATAGAGTCAATGATATTGTCACAGTGATGTAAGGAGTCAGATGGCAGCTACACTTGTGATGAACACAACATAATGCATAAACTTGTCAAATCACTGTATTATATTGTACACCTGAAACTAATGTAACATGTGTACTATACTCACATTTTTAAAAAATGTTTATTTATTCTTGAGAGAGAGAGAGAGAGAGAGAGAGAGAGAAAGAGACAGTGTGAGCAGGGGAGGGAGAGAGAGAGAGGGAGACAAAAGCTAAAGCAAGCTCCAGGCTCCGAGCTGTCAGCACAGAGCCTGACACAGGGTTTGAACTCACAAACCATGAGATCATGAACTGAGCTAAAGTCGGACGTTTAACTGGCTGAGCCACCCAGGTGCCCCATGCTCAAATTTTAATGAATGAATAAATAAATAACCAAACAAACCAACAAACTAGTCAGAGACTCTGCTTCAAATCTTAAGTTTTGATTTACTGTCATCGGAATAGTATTTTAATTATACATACTAAGCATCCAAAATGTATGAAATAACTGCTTCACAACAGCTGCAGCATTAAACCTATGTGGTATTAACTGCTTTATCTCTGGAGCACTGTAGTTCACTTCAACCTAAGAAAAATCAACAATACACTGCCGACTATATATTTGTTAAACTGAAATAACTAATGATAATACAAATAACATATATGGTATCCATTAAACACTTCAAATTAATTAAACTAAAAGTACTGTATGTTAAACCCTAACAATGGAATTAGCTAAACAGTTAAAATAACTTTTATTACCTAGAGAATCCTGAAAGGTAAATATATCACTACTCCCATTTTATAGGTGAAGAAACTGAGATTTTTAAAATTAAAGAATTTGCTGCTGGTAAAGTCAGTATTAGAAGACCTAAGTCCAAAGGGTCTGAAATCAAGTCACATACTTAAATCAAAAAGCCATATAAAACAGCTGACTAGGTCCTCAGGTAGAAAAACCACATTTTGTTTCATAATGCTATTAACAGGTCTACAAATAGACAAAAGAAAACAAACAAAATCCAATCCTTAGTAAAAATCTCAAAATATGGCCAAAAAAATTAGTTCTAAACTGTATTAGAATTAGTAGGCTTACAAAGCATAAGAGACTGCTGAGAACTGAGAACAAACTAAGGGTTGACGGGGGGTGGGAGGGAGGAGAGGGTGGGTGATGGGTATTGAGGAGGGCACCTGTTGGGATGAGCACTGGGTGTTGTATGGAAACCAATTTGACAATAAATTTCATATATAAATAAAAAAAAATAATAAAATAAAAAAAAAAAAAGAAACATAAAAAAAAAAATTAGTAGGCTTAAATTCAAAATATAATGCAGAGAGAAACATTTTATGATAAAATATCCCCAACAACATCAATCATAAAATAAGGCTACTACTACTTACTAGGTGGCTTTTGCACTCCCTTGTACTGTTATAGTCAGAATAGGTATCCAAGTTCCTCTATATTCAAATGCTGGTAGCAAAGTAACACCTCCACCAATCCCCAACATTCCTGAGTTAGCTGGTGTTGAGACAGGGCCCCCTGAGTTATTATTTCCTATTAGATAAGGAGAAGAAAACAGAGATACCAATTTACTACTTAATTACAAATCAATGATATTAAAATATCTGTTCAATTAAAAAAAAAAATTTGTTCTAGGGGCACCTGGGTGGCTCAGTTAATTGAGCATCCAACTCTTGATTTTGGTTCAGTCATGATCCCAGGGTCATGGGATCAAACCTGGAATCAGGCTCCATGCTGAGTCTGGAGCCTACTTAAGATTCAGTCTCTCTCTCTCTCTCTCCTACTTAAGATTCAGTCTCTCTCTCTCTCTCTCTCTCTCT